GGGAAGAGTATAGGGACATTGCCTGACTGTACAGGGATGAGGTCAGGAACGCCAAGGCATGGCTGGAGATGAACTTGGCAAAGGATCCAAAGAGTAACAAGAAGAGCTTCTATAGGTATGTAAACCAGAAAAGGAAGGTTAAAGAAAGTGTCCCTCGCTGATGAGCAACAGTGGTGAACTGGTAACAACATATGAGGAGAAGGCTGAGGTTCTCAACAACTTTTTTGCCTCAGTCTTCACTGGCAGCCTCTCTCCTTACACTTACTGAGTTGAAAGGCAACAAGGAGACCAGGGGGACAAAATCCCTCCCACTGTAAGTGAAGACAAGGTTCATGACCACCTGAGGAACCTGAACATACAAGTCTTTGGGACCTGATGAGGTGTATCCCAGAGTCCTGAAGGAATTGGTTGATGTAGTTGCCAAGCCACTCTCCATGAGATGTGAGAAGTCATGGCAGTCAGGTGAAGTCCCTGGTGAATAGAAGGGAAACATCACATCCATTTTTAAGAAGAGTGGAAAGGAGGACCCTGGGAACTACCCACCTGTCAGCCTCACCTCTGTGCCTGGGAAGATCATAGAACAGATCCTCCTAGAAGCTCTGATATGGCACATGGAGGACAGAGAGGTGATTCAAGATAGCCAGCATGATTTTACTGGGGGCAAGACCTGTCTGACCAACCTAGTGGACGACTACAATGGGGTAACTGCATCAGTAGACAAGGGAAGAGCTATGGATGTCATCTATCTGGATTTCTGCAAGGCCTTTGACGCAGTCCCCAACAACATCCTTCTCTATGAGTTGGAGAGGTATGGATTTGATGGGTGGACTGTGCAGTGAATAAGGAATTGGCTGGATGGTCACATCCAGAGAGTAGTGCTCAATGTCTAGATGGAAGACAGTGACAAGTGGTATCCCTCAAGGGTCTGTACTGTTTAATATCTTCATGAATGCTAAAGGCAGCAGGATTGAGGACACCCTCAGTAAGTCTGCAGATGATACCAAACTGAGTGGTGCAGCTGACATACCAGAGTGACGAGATGTCATCCAGAGGGACTTTGAAAAGCTGGAGAAGTGGGCCTGTGTGAACCTCAAGAGGTTCAACAAGGCCAAGTGCAAGGCAATTCTCATTATCAATACAGGTTTGGGAATAATGTGATAAGAGAACAGACCTGCGGAAAAGGACTTGGGGATCCTGGTGAATGAGAAGCTGGACATGAGCCAACAATGTATGCTCGCAGCCCAGAAAGCCAGCCATATCCTGGGCTGCATCAAAAAAAGGGTGGTGAAACACTGGAACAGGTTGCCCAGAGAGGTGGTGGAGGCCTCATCCCTGTAGACATTCAAGGTCAGGCTTGATGGGCTCTGAGCCTTCTGATCTAGTTAAAGATGTCCCTGCTCACTGCATGGGGGTTCAACTAGATGACCTTTAAAGGTCCCTTCCAATCCAATGCATTCTATGATTTTGTGATTGCATCAGAAGGAAAGAGTCAGCACAACAAAATTTGTGGGTGACAGGGATTTGGTAGAAAGGACGGTCCAATCTCACAAGGCTCTGTGCTACTGATGCAGTCCTGCTTCTTGGTAGTCATCATCTAGTTTCTGGTAGTGGGATTTATTCCATACTAAAGTGATGATCTTCTAAAATGAACTGATATCACGAAATAAAATGCAGTATCAGCCTCTACTAAGTGGCTTCAGTGCAGTCTTCTGATGGAGACCTTTGCATCACTTTCAGTGGGTTTCATTTTTAAATTAAGACATCTACATATAGCTGTGTGCATATACATTAGGAGCATAAGCTTCCATCACCATCACCCAATGGTGCTGAGGTACTGTAAGGTATCCCATCAAGCCTTCAATTGCCAGTCCAGAAAGGTACAGAAGGGTACAGGTAGGTCCTCTGTTATATCTGCCAACGCTGTTTCAGATAACCTCTGGCATCAGAAATTGTACCAGCTGCCTATGCTGAGGCAAGTGAACTTACCCCTAGTTAACACAGCCACCAGAGCCTGAGGAACAATTCCTCTGATCAGCTACTAGGTGTTACTTCAGGCTGGACAGAATCAGTCTCTAGGCACCTTTGTCCATACTGTTCAGCTCTGCAGTGACTATAGTATGAGACACTTGGCATGCCTGTAGATACTTACTACAGGCACCTAAACTGAATTTCAATCTTTAACCCATCCACAGTGTCTATCCTACACCTTGGGTTCACGTCCCGGCTGGCTTCTCAACTCCTAAGAGTTGATATGCATTTCAAGCTTTTCAAGTTGCCACATCAAAGAACAGAACCTCTTGAATATCAAAATTACCCACTAGATGATGATACTGTTGTTTTCATTTTACTAGTGGGAAAACAGTACATTGTACTATTCTGTAAATCTTGCAATGTGTAAGGATTAGACAGGAGACCAAAAGTGGAGTTACTTGATCTTCAGCATAGTATGTTTTTTAAGAACTTTGAAGACATTATCTAGCATCATTTGTCACCACTGAAA